ACCAGAGATGAAAACGGTCGATGAAGTTGCTTAATGCCCTCGACTTGCGTCATAGCTGCCTGTAAAAACACATTCCTACGCCCAGTGGCAAAATCCTTCGCTCGGCAAACTCCCCCAATCACCCTCCTGCACCCACCGCGCCTCTCTGCTCACCCGACCCGCGTCCTACTCGCCCTAACGCCTCTATTGCATTAGAATACCGACACTGGGGACATCATGAACTGTGCTAATTACACCGTTAAGACAAGATAGCGGTGGGAAGGTTGAAAGAGTACCTGGAGGGGAGGGGTGAGGAAAGGGTGAGGGAGGGAGGAAGGGAGGGAGGTAGGGTGAACTAAAGCTGGTGGAGTGGTGGGCGGTGCCAAATGTGACTCAGCAGTTCATGGTCATCCTGTAGGGAATTATATTACAGTCTGGGGTCAACGAACAGTCCCACTTGCATCCCTAATGCATGAGTCACGAAGGCAAGCATGAAGGCAAGCATGCTTCCAAGTTGGGCGCTATATCCGCTTATGCGCTTCTCCTTACCCGGGATGCGAGGGGGTGCCCAATAAACTAGCCTCCTCTGCCCGGGATGCAAGGGGGTGCCCATTAAACTAGCCTGCTCTGAAAATTTCTCTCTCAGTCTCTATCCCTTCTGTGGTGTCTATCCCTGTGTAGTTATTATAGTTCCTCGTCCCTTCTATCCACCATCACTCTCTAACCGTCCTGCCGATATACTATACAGTTATGTTCCTCACCTCTACAAATTAGTGTTGTACCTATTCTCCCTCTCCCAATTGCTATCCTCCCCACCACTTATCCCCCTACCCCAGCTTCCCAGCCTTAACTGCTATCCTCCCCAACCCAAACTTCCCTCTCTAGCCTAAACTACCTTTCTTCCTTAACCTAAATCCCCAACTTACTAACATCATTTACTAACTATTCCTCATCTCCATAATCTTCATCCCCACCCCCTCCCCTTATTCCCCCCCTCTCCCCCACACCCCCCTTATTCCCCACCACTCCACAACCCCCTCCCCTTATTCCCCACCACTCCACCCCCATCCCCCACTCCACCTCCCTTATTCCCCCCCTCCCTTATTCCCCATCACTCCACCCACCCACCCCTCCTTATTCCCCACCACTCCACCACCCACCCTCCTTATTCCCCACCACTCCACCAATCCCCACCTCCTTATTCCCCACCACTCCACCAATCCCCCACCTCCCCTTATTCCTAATCTTCATTGTATAACACACACAGAATGACACTCCTCTTCTATACATGCAAACTCCATAGACAACATATACTGCGTCAGTTAATTTAATTTGGCTGAGTCTAGCATTTATAGATTATTTTCTCGTTTATTGGACGCAGCTAAGTCAGCTCTACTCTGTCAATTACTTAAATAATTAACATCCAGGTTATTAAATTACGAGATCTGTCATTAGGGATTCTACCAAAAAAATCCTTTAACTGATATACTACTTCTGACTTTCCTGCATCTACACAGCTAATGAGATTCTAGTGCTGCTTCATCAATAATCAAAATCTGTAGAACGAACATAGTCACAAATAAACTTTGAATGCATTACAAATTAAATCCTTTGATTCTACATTTTGCGTTAGGAACTTTGGTATGTGGACAAAGCTGTATAGGGTGTCTAAGAAAAATGTCCCTGCCTCCCTCCCTTCCCTTCCTGCCTGCTCCCTGCCTCCCTGCCTGCACCTTGCCTCCTTCCCTCTCTCCAGCTCAGTGTCTCGCAGCAGGCAGGGAGGCAGGGACATTTTTCTGAGACACCTTACATAAATATAAAAGCGTTTGACTAAAACATTCCCGGAAAAAAAATGACTTACGAAATACTCTCGCATCCTATGTTACCAATCTATCGACTCCCTTCCTTCACCACCCCGCCATAAGTCAGCTGATTCTCCTCAAATTTTAAGCCTCGACGCGTGCTAGAGTGGCGAGCCTTACCAAGAGTGCTGATTTTTTTTTAGAGAGACCACAATTCAACCTGGCCATTGACACGAAGCTCGGTGGTGTATGCCTTTATCACACGCAATGGATTAATAAATTCAGTTGTGACATAGAGAGGTTAGGTTAGGTTAGGTTAGGTTAGGTTAGGTTAGGTTAGGTTAGGTTAGGTTAGGTTAGGTTAGAGATCGAAGTACCTCAGTGCAATAACAAAGTCATAATTTGCTATAGAGGAAATAGCCCACCACCACTCAGGGCCCCCTCACCACTCTCAGGCCCACCAATACTACTCTCAGGGCCCACCACCACTCAGGGCCCCACCACCACTTGCAGGGCCCCCACCACTCAGGGCCCCATCGCCACTTTCAAGGGCCCCCCACCACCACTCTCAGGGCCCACCACTGGACCACCTACATGCCCTAGACAGTTCCTAGGAGAATTTCAGAGGCTACCCAAGATGCTTCCCCTCCGTTCATTTCCCGGCAAGTCTTGTAAATTTCTCCTTCTGCTGTTCCTGCTGGTGTTCCTGTTCCTGCTGGTGCTACTGTTCCTGCTAGTGTTCCTGCTGTTCCTGCTGGTGTTCCTGTTGTTACTGGGCTGTGTTTTGCTGCTGGTGTTTCTGGTGTTAAATCTTCCCACTCGCCACATCAACGGTTACTAAATCTTCCCACTCACCACATCAACGGTTACTAAATCTTCCCACTCACCACATCAACGGTTACTAAATCTTCCCACTCACCACATCAACGGATACTAAATCTTCCCACTCACCACATCAATGGTTACTAAATCTTCCCACTCACCACATCAACGGTTACTAAATCTTCCCACTCACCACATCAATGGTTACTAAATCTTCCCACTCACCACATCAACGGTTACTAAATCTTCCCACTCGCCACATCAATGGTTACTAAATCTTCCCACTCACCACATCAACGGATACTAAATCTTCCCACTCACCACATCAACGGATACTAAGTCTTCCCACTCACCACATCAACGGTTACTAAATCTTCCCACTCACCACATCAACGGTTACTAAATCTTTCCACTCGCCACATCAATATCACCAGATACGCTGTGTGGTAGAGGACACTTATCACAGTTGGTTCTGACGAAGCTTGACCCCTTCTGCGTCTCGATAATTAATCTAGAAGAAGTGGCTAAGGGTGGCGGAAGGAGCTAGACTTGGGCACTGATATTACTAACTGTTGTCCTGTTTGTAGAGTGTTTTGTTTTTTCTCTGTTGTCATAAGGAGAGTTTTTTTGCTCTCTCTCTCTCTCTCTCTCTCTCTCTCTCTCTCTCTCTCTCTCTCTCTCTCTCGTGGTGTGCATACCTGTATTAGTAAATTTCTGTTCTAAAATAAAGGTGAATATAAGGAGTCAAAACTGGTGTCTTCCGCGCGTTGTAACCCACATCACGAGCGTTCAACAGGTTCTTATATATTCTGTTATGACGGAAAAATGCTTGATACGAATTTGAGGAAAGCTTTCAAGTGTAGCGTGATAGAAATGTTGAAGACCAAGACTGCCCTTGATACATTCTGAACCGGAAAGTGACCACTGAATTGCCAGAGCCCACTACAAAGAACTTGAATGTGCTTGTAAAAATAGGAAGACGTCAAGTGAATAGAAATTGTAGTAAAATGATGAATAGTACGGGAGGAAAACTGAAATGAAATTTAAAATGAAATGTATATGTAAGAAGAATTCAGGCAGAGAGAGAGAGAGAGAGAAAGAGAGAGAGAGCACTTGTAATATTAAAACAAAATATATATTACGCAAAAATATCGTTAAAAATAGTTTATGAAAAATGAAAACAAAATTAAAATAGAGAACTGATAAGTCCTGTGTCATATGAAGGGTTATAGAAGTCCTGTGTCATGTAAAGGATTATAGGATTCCTGTGTCATGTGAAGGATTATAGGAGTCCTGTGTCATGTGAAGGATTATAGGAGTCATGTGTCATGTAAAGGATTATAGGAGTCCTGTGTCATGTAAAGGATTATAGGAGTCCTGTGTCATGTGAAGGATTATAGGAGTCCTGTGTCATGTAAAGGATTATAGGAGTCCTGTGTCATGTGAAGGATTATAGGAGTCCTGTGTCATGTGAAGGATTATAGTAGTCCTGTGTCATGTAAAGTTATAGGAGTCCTGTGTCATGTAAGGATTATAGGGTCCTGTGTCACGTGAAGGATTATAGGAGTCCTGTGTCACGTGAAGGATTATAGGAGTCCTGTGTCACGTGAAGGATTATAGAAGTCCTGTGTCACGTGAAGGATTATAGGAGTCCTGTGTCATGTGAAGGATTATAGGAGTCCTGTGTCATGTAAAGGATTATAGGAGTCCTGCGTCATGTGAAGGATTATAGAAGTCCTGTGTCACGTGAAGGATTATAGGAGTCCTGTGTCATGTGAAGGATTATAGGAATCCTGTGTCATGTAAAGGATTATAGGAGTCCTGTGTCATGTGAAGGATTATAGGAGTCCTGTGTCATGTGAAGGATTATAGGAGTCCTGTGTCACGTAAAGGATTGTAGGAGTCCTGTGTCATGTGAAGGATTATAGAAGTCCTGTCTCACGTGAAGGATTGTGTCATGTGAAAAGAAATACAAAATACAAACATAAAAAACAAACAGACACAGATGAGACGGATATAAGATACAGACAGACAGACGAATATCAAAAAGAAAAAACACACAAACTCACGGACAGACAAAAACTGACAGACAACAAAGATTAAGAAAGAAAACAAATATATACAGACGCGATTGACAGATAAACAACAAGAGGAAGATACTGACAGGAAAAACAAATTGGAATACAGGGAAGAAACACACACACACACACACACACACACACACACACACACACACACACACAGAAAAATACACTAAATGAAATATACTACCAGAGGGCAGCGTGGTCTGGCAGCCAAGGGGGGTAGGAGAGAAAGCAGGGAGGAGAGCAGGCGGACAAGTAGGTAGGGAAATAAGCAGACTGTCATTCAATAAAGAGGAGAAAAGGTCAGTTAAAAATGATGAGAGCCAGTGAAGCAGAAAATCAGACAGAGACACAGTCAGATAATACGAGAGAAAAACAGTCAGGTAAGCAGGTAGAGAGATAGTCAGTCACGCAGGCAAGCAGAAAGAGACAGTCAGTTCAATTGGCAAGCAGAAAGAGACAGTCAGTTCAATAGGCAAGCAGAAAGAGACAGTCAGTTCAACAGGCAAGCAGAAAGAAACAGTCAGTCCAACAATCAGGTAGGCAAAGAGACAGTCAGTCCAACAGGCAAGCAGAAAGAAACAGTCAGTCCAACAATCAGGTAGGCAAAGAGACAGTCAGTTCAACAGGCAAGCAGGAAGAGACAGTCAGTCCAACAGGCAAGCAGAAAAAGACAGTCAGTCCAACAGGCAAGCAGAAAGAGACAGTCAGTCCAACAGGCAAGCAGAAAGAGACAGTCAGTCCAACAGGCAAGCAGAAAGAGACAGTCAGTCCAACAGGCAAGCAGAAAAAGACAGTCAGTCCAACAGGCAGAGACAGTCAGTCCAACAGGCAAGCAGAAAGAGACAGTCAGTGCAGTCGAGACACAAACTACTGATATATCTCCTTTTAGGGACAGTTTCAGTGACGGGGAAGACTCGTGTATTCACGTTGAAAGTCAGCGTAACTCATGGTCAGGAGAGGTCAGGAGGAGTCAGGAGGGGTTAGGAGGAGTCAGGAGGGATCAAGCCTTCTCAAGTGTGGTCAGGAAGGGTTTGAAGGGGTCAGGAGGTGTTATATGGATTTAATAGGGATCAGGAGGGGACAGGAGGATTAAGGAGGCTCGCCATGATTCCCGTTAATAGACTTCTTTCGTCTTAACCTGTAGTCGGGTTCACTGGTTCTCCCATCCCAGCATTAGGTTCTATATATATGATGGGTTCACTGGTTCACTTGCCGTGTCTTTTATTCGGTTTTATTCACATGGTTGGGTTCACTGGTTCACTTGTCATGATTCATAACTGGTCGGTTCGTTGGTTCAACACCACCCGACTCCTAACTCTCCCTGAAGGATCCCGGCGAAGTACATTTCCTGACAGACTAGATGCAGTTGTGATGAAAGAGGAGTAGGGTGATGTAGGATGATGGGAAGGAATGAGGGAGAGGTGAGGAAGAGAAGTAGAAGGAAGAGGAGGATGAGTAGGGGAAGGGGGAAGAGGAGGAGAAATAGTAGATGGTGACGGTGGTAGGTGGTAAGAGAGAGAGAAAAAAAAAAAGAGCGAGTGAACTTGTAAAGGGGCTCGGGGTTAAGCTAGAAGGGGTAGGTGAGTGATATACACAGGGCCTGCAGTCAACTGGTAAGAGATACGACCTTCTCTCACTCCCCAACGAAAAGGGGAGATCACTTCTCTTCGTCTGTCGGATGTAGCCAGAGCTTGTAAATATCTCAAGAAAGCTGTGAAAAATATTCCTCGGCTGCACTACACAGACAAAAAGCAAACAAAACACGTATATACCGCACACTGCGATTAGGTATTTTTAAAGCAGGATTATTTTTTTTTTAGTTCACTTAGGAATTCGTTTGTCTGGCATTAGTCAAATACTGTAGAATGTAGATTGTTAAAAAGTGGCGTCCCGTAGTGAAAGTGTCAGTGGAATGTCTGTGTGTGTATCTGTGCAATTAGTTTACTTGATAGATGAAGAGACAGATATCCAGAGAGAGAGAGAGGATAAAGAAGTAGAGACTGTGAATATTACTGACTGGAAATTCACCTCGAGTGTACTAAAGCCCTACTTGGTGGTGGTGGAGGTGGTCCTAGGGGAGGTATACAAGGTGATGGACTAGCCACCTTTATCCACCAAAGTACTATTGTGAGGATCATGTGTGAGATGAACCACAGCCAAGAAGTTCCCTTGGGTGGTCAGGAGTTGCTGGTACAAACACATTAACAGGTAATTTCACATTTGTTATTCTTATTGACTTGTAAAATTTTAATTATTATTGTTTCCCTGTCCGTAACAAGGCAGGGTATTGTTTTCGGCTTGTGTGTGCTTGGGTCAAATGTAACCCGGTGTTTTCATCATAGAGTCTCTCAGGGGTTTAAAGAAAACGAATGTGTGAGACAATACCTATAGCAGTGACTACAAACATTGGTGATAAAAGTTAGCGGGAAAGGTTTGTATCTGCTCGGATTATTATTATTATTATTAATTATTAATATTTTTATTATTATTGCTATTATTTTTATTATTGTTATTGGTATGTTGTTTTTGTTGCTTTTTTATTTTTTTATTGTTATTGTTATTATAATTATTATTATTATTATTATTATTATTATCATTATTATTATTATTATTATTATTATTAGTTGTAAGTAGTAGTAGTAGTAGTAGTAATAGTCACTGAATGCCGCATAGATCTGCGGCTCAACTAATTCAACACAGATAGGATAGCTACTTATGTATTAGGATATTTAATATTAAGGTAATAAAATGGCGGCGAAGGTGTGGCTATTGGGGGAGGCTGGAGGCCACGTTTTAAAAATAAGTAGTAGTAGTAGTAATAGTAGTAGCAGTAGTAGTAAAACAAAACACAGAGCAAAAAAAAAATCTACCGAAAAAATAACTAAAAGAAAGTCGGAATGAATACTGCCTTCATATATTTTACCCCCCCCACCAACCAACAAAAAATTGAGGTAACATTTGTTGTTTTTGTTACATAGTTCAGCTCTTGGTAACTATTTCCTGGCAGTGAATAGGTAGTGAAGTTCAATGTTGCAAAGAGGTGAATATTTCATGGCAGTCTGCAATACCCATGACTTGGAAGACAAGGTGAATGTCAAGTTGTACCACATTGTCTCTTGAATAATGTGTGTGAGTTTTCTTATTCGTAATACATTTGTATCTCAAGTATTTGTCTGATTCTGAGTCTGTGAGATGTTCAGTTTGTTTTGGTTTTTTCAATTTTGTTGCCTTTAATTCCTGTCTATTTTTTTTCTTTAATTCTAGTCTGCATCACTTTTCCTATAACAAATTTTGCCTCATTGCTCTAAAGCCAAATTTTGCGCCAGTGGCTTCAATCTAATTTTACGTCATTGACATATAAACCTTGCTAACTCCAATCCCAACTTGCGTAACTAATCCCACTCCAACCTCACTGACCTCTCACCACAATTGGCACCACTTTGTCCCAATCCAATACTGCCTAATGAACCACTGTCCGAAATTGCCCAGTTAAATCCTAAACCAGCTCTACGTTATAAGCCGCTAATCCATTTTACCTCACTGGCATCAATTGCAGTTCAAAATCTCACTGTTTCATTCGATCCCTGAGTGATTCCCTAACTAACACTTAAAAACGAATACTCGGTGAACTCCCAAATGAACCCTTAGTAAATTCTAAGTGAATCCTAAGCTAACCCAAAGTAATACCAAATGAATCCAAAGGGAACCCAAAATGAACTCTTAGTAAACTCCAAGTGAATCCTGCGTAAACTCAAAGTGAATCCAAAATTGAACCCCCAAAAAACCTTATGTTAATACCAAGTGAAATTCGAGTGAAGCGCAAACCCTAGACCGAGGGAGATTTTACATATATTGATAACCTGTAATAGTTCTACCCTGCCGAAATAAGGAGGTAGTTAATTAATTCAGAGGTAACCATAGGTAAGCCCATTCAAGGAGGAAGGTCAGGACAGAGAAATGACAGAGAGGTGAGAGAGAATGATGAAAAAGGAGGAGAGGAAGGTGACGGTAATGCTCGTCTTTGCACGTATGTTTGTATTGATATTAATTATACACTTTACTGGATGATATGTGTTGAAGATATACTTATACTGTACAATATAGGTATACAATGATGCTTATACAGTACTTCATTCTCATATCCATAACACGAGCGAAGAAATTTATGTATCAATCATTAAAAATCCGTCCAATCAACAGGGTAACAATATACGACAGTTACCAACACATATTGACTCTTGCTGCTAAACCTTGAACCTGGGAATGCTGGAAGGACAATTCACTATGATAACCTCTCCACCATCGCCCTCCCCTGGCTTACAATTGCCTCACAACTCACTCATCTTCTCGGCCTTGTCATTACCGTGTTAATCTCTTAACTGCGGTGATAACGGTGTACCAGCGAGCCTCGTGTCAATGGTCCCTACTAAATTGTGGTCTTGAGCGACCATGGTTACTGCCAGCCACTCCAGCAAGTGCCTAGAATAGTGGTGAGGATGAGATCATTCCACCTGTTCAACTGTAGGTAATTATCAGGAAGACAGAGTAACAGTGAGAGAGTATATGGTCAGTTTATCTGTACAGTTTACTGGATGAGAGAAGGAGTTTCGCACAGCTCGATTACAGTGTCTCCTCTCTCTCTCTCTCTCTCTCTCTCTCTCTCTCTCTCTCTCTCTCTCTCTCTCTCTCTCTCTCAGCCCGGTGTCATTAAACTGAAGTAAGAATGTGGTGTGAGTAAGGTAGAATTTTTTTTAAATTTTACTCCTTTTTTTCGCTCTTTCTCATTATCTCTTAGTTGATCAATATTTTTTCTTCACTTTTTTCCCTTCCTCCTTCTTTTCATTCTACTTTACTTTCACATCTCTCGTTTACTTTTTACCTCATCTTCACTCTTTCTCTACCCATTATTTCATGGACAACTAAGCCTCGTATAACCCTAATGGAAGACGATAACTTTATTCCAAGAGTACTTGTTAATTCCCTTCCTCTTGTTCTTAGACAGTCAAGAGGTTTCAAGATCGACCACTAAGGACCTAGATAAGCCAGACAAGGCGCCTTCACCCTCCTGGTCCCTATATTCTCAGAAAAAAAATCATCTTGAGTGAGAATATATGAACGCCCCAAACTTTGATGACTTTGAGCTGAGAAAAAAATACCATCTAGTTTAATATAGGAATTACGCTGAGACTTTACCTTTACTAGTGAGGGACGTTTTATAGCTTGAGAATTTTCGTGAATTCTGATTCTCGATGATGAGGAGGAGGAGGAGTGAGTGTATATTTAATTGGTTCACTTCAGTAACGACACAAGGCAGGCAGCCAGAGGGTTCGTGTCAATGGTAGGATAACTGAAGGGGCTTTACAGTAACTAGTTGTGTTTGCTGATCGTCGTCAGTTACCGGGAAGAGAGAGAGAGAGAGAGAGAGAGAGAGAGAGAGAGAGAGAGAGAGAGAGAGTCCTTACACTGGTCTGGTCCACTCCACCCTTTCCTCCATATCAGCTGGTTTCTTACAGACTAAACAAGGCAGAAACGTCAATGTTTAACACCTGTTATGAACCGACAGGGCGTGGAGGGAGGTGTGGCAGCCAATATTAAGAGGAGCACAAAGAGTTCAGGTCATTGCCAGGTAAAACTCACGAAAAAACCGGTAACGAGTCCATTAGACACGAATGCCTCCGCCAAACAGTTTGAAAGGAACTTAAAAGCAAAATGAAATAAAAACCAGGATTTTTTGTTTAGCTGACGAGAGAGAGAGAGAGAGAGAGATCGACTTCGCATTTCTTTTACTGTATAGAGTCTATAGACAGACGCCAACTTAGGAAGAAAAATATCTTTAATAACTTTCCTCACCTGACAACCCTTTAGAAAAAATAA